CAGGGTATGCAGTATACTCCTGCAGAAGTGAGGAGGTCTCTTCTGTCTTTTGCTGATCATAGCATCTGCTGTATTTTTCTGGTGAGTCTGAAGACTGTTTTTAGGTTGTGTTTTTTCATAACTTTTCCCATCTGATCAGTGATTCCTTTGATATATGGCAAAAACACTTTTCCATTTTTCTTCTCACATTGACACAGAGGTACTACATCTTTCTGTGTTATATTTCTGAGGATGCCAGTCACAGCTGCTGGCGAAACGTCAGGTACTACAATGCCAAGACCACAGCCATACAGCCCAGAAAATCTACAACACCTAAAGTACATAATTTTTTTTAAAGCAAGCAGTATACCGATATAAAAAGTGTTTATTCAACATGGAATAAAATGACACAGTGCTTGGAGAATTTGAAAAGTCCCAAATATGTAGAATTTGTAGTTTGAAATGCCTAAACAAAAATTGTATGCATGTTATACAGTTTCCATTTTATTTACCAGTTTTTGTGTGTTTTTTAGTATCAGGGCTGTATATTTAAAACAGGATTTATTCCATTTTAAAAAATGTCTTAGATGCCAATAGAATCAGAGAACGATAACAGAGAATTACAAGCTATTTTAAATAATTCATATTGCACCCCCACTTCCTTCAGTCATAACAAAGCTCATTCAGTTCTAAATTATGCTTTTAAATGAAGGGAACAGCAAAAAGATTTCAGCTATTGCTGAATGACATGATTTTATATATAGCTTCCTCATTAGTCGGGCTGCAGAAGGGGCAAAAGGCAACAATTACTGGGTAGATGCATTACGTGCTTAGACTATGCTGTCAACATATTTCCATCTCTCTATATAAAAGAAAGTCCCCTCACCATAAAATCAATGTCCAGGTCAAACAGCTGGACCTGGAGACACCAAATTTGGGGAGAGCTCTCCTACCGTGGCATAGGTGCTCGCTAAGAAGGGATTTTTAGAAATTCGACCCCTTAGTGGGTGAAAAGGGGGGAAATGTGCTCTCCCCATTAATTCCTATGCAGCTGCCAGGCAGCTGACTCTCTGTACCCCCCACTCTCTGATTGGTCAGCTGCAGAGCTCAGTGTTCTGAGGTAAAAAAAAGCCAACAGTTACAGGGGACTGCAGACAGCTAATGACAGTTGAGGAAATCAGGAGTGGCCAACAACCACCTGTGAGATGAAGCAAAGCTGCTGGCCCAGCCTCTTTGATGGCTTCCAACACACTTGCCCTACCTCCTACACCTAATAGGCGATTGGCTGTCAGGTACAGCCCCACCTCCACAGTGGCTTCTAATACTCCTCCCCCCTCCCCCTCCTACACTGGACAGGGAGCTCCCTGTCAGGTGCAGGAGAGGAGATGGGATGGCTCCCAACACACTTCCCCCACCAACTACACTTAACAGGTAGTTGTCTGTCAGGTGCAGCCCCACCTCCACAGTGGCTTCTAATACTTCTCCCCCTTCTACACTGGACAGGCAAACTGCCTGTCAGGTATAGGAGAGGAGGTGGGATGCTTACAGCCGCCGGGGAGGTTTGCTCAGCAGGATTGCCTTAGCACTGCTGCTGGCCCAGCCTCCCTGATGCCTTTAAATACAATCCCCCAACACCAGACAGGCTGGTGTCTGTCAAGTGTAAGAGCAGGGCCTTGGTATGAATGTTTATGGGGAGATAGTAAAGGACATTTCTAGGAGCCATTTCAATGCATGCCTCCCTCATGAACTGGAAGAAATGTGCACCACATCACCACTCCCTCACACCAACTCCCCCTCACACCTCTCACCTCTTACTGCCCCCAAGAAAGCTCCTGGCAAACGTTGAGCCAGATACACCAACGCTACAAGGAGGAGGCAACTTAGGAATGCGGCAAAGACATTTGCACATAGTACTCCTGCAGTGCACTGAGCTGCACAGACCAAGTACCAGTGAGATCACCCTGAGGTGCTCAGAACAACACA